GCGCCCCTCTAGCTAGTTGCGTGCAGTGCATCGGCTACTAAGGTCACTTCATCGGCGCCGCGCCGTGTAACGTGTACGTGTGCATTTGCCCTAGCGTAGAGATATTTTGTTTCCTTCGTGCTCGTTCAGCACGGGACCGAGCAAAGGTGTGAAGACTATTTTGTCGAGCCAATGCGACTGCGGCGAGTTGCCTTCATTTCCACGAGGGATGAGCACTTGCGGTCCCACGCATACGGGCGCGGCAGCGGACGGCGTGGCTGCTATGCTTACACGAACCGTAACAGTGCTAAACCGCTAAGCCAAACATACTGCCGTGCAGGCAGTACACGATTCAGATTGATTGAGATGTTTATCATTGGTAGCTTTGTCGCGATGACGTACTGCCACATGCGCCGGTAGCCATCATCACGCTCCTGTGAATTTCCATGCAGGCATCACTGCACTCGGTCCTTAGTCGTAGTGAAAGCGATCGATGTTCAGATGTGTCAGAGACACACGCTTCCCTTAGTCGTAGTAATCACTGCATGATATACTGAGGCTTTGATCGCAAATGCGCAAAATCGTAAGTTCAACACAGTGACATAGGCAAACAAATGTTCGCGAACATCGAATATTCGAAAATTTTGAAGATATGGTTATTGAATCGAATAAGAATATTATAAAAAAAAACATTCCATGAATATGCGAAACTTTCGAGTATTCGCACACCCCCTATGGCACCTTTTAACAGGTCGCAAGAAAGACAGCAACTGGGCTGATAGTGTGCTTTCCTTGCGCACAGTCCTACTTTGCCCTTAATTAGGTGCCTCTTCTCCTGTCCTCATTAGCACAGGTCACAGAAAAGATTATTTTTTTTTTCCTTACAACAAATGATGCCCACGTCGACACCGAAATTTCTGCAAAACGAGCTCTTTGACGCTACTACGTCAAAATATTGTGCAACTAAGTCGGGTCACAAAAATATACTTCTTTAGATGCAATATATACTATTATAACTATGCAGTTTGAGATTATTTGATAAAATCACATTTTCTTCGACCCTAAAACTTACTCTTTAACACATCCCTAAAGGTTACATAAGGTAGGCTGGCCGAATTTCCAGAAATATCAAAAGCCCTTACTTGAGGCACATGCAGCCTATCACAAGTAAATTAGCCATTTACAGGGGTGCAAAAGCCAAAATAGAATTTGGAGCAGCAAAATGTCACATTTGGAGCACTAAAATCCAAATTTATAATATGTTACAGAATTTTTTTTTTAATCATGAATGACCGAATTTGGAGCAGTATAAAAAAGGCTTACATCTAAAAAAAATAGATGTAAAAAACATTCAACCCACCTACATCGAACAGAGTGAACATGAGCACAGCTACTTCAATAAATGTAGTATTCTGAAGTACCCCACTGAGCAGGGTGTCTACCAATTTGCTCAGAATTCCCTGACTTTTCCAGGTTTTCCATGATTATTTAAAGCAGATCCCATCACTGTTACATATGCTTGGAAAACTCTGTGCACTAGAAACAGAGCAACCAGTAATAATAAAAAAAAAAATCCGGCAATCGCATAGAATAAGTAAACAAATGTACCACATGTGCTCAGAATGTTCTAAACGTGTGCGGTAAATATAAAAAACTATGCACATCTGGCCAAAATGATACCTCCGAGCTATTGAGTCAGCAAGTTGGCTGTTTGGCAGAATGCGGAAACACAAGTTAAAATTAACCGCAGCTGAAAGTTTGAAGGAGCCCACCACAGTCCTACAACGCAGCCAACACTGCTAGGAAATGTGGAAGTGGCACCATCTCGTGACATCTGTGTAAAAGAAGGACGCCTGAGCTCAGCCAGTTTCGCCACTGGAATATATTCTAGTTCCTATAATGGATAAAGTCCAGGCCTCTTTCGGATGTGGACTGGAGTGGATTAAATCGACCTTTATTTACTGACTTCACTATTTAGAATGTGGAATGGATTGGACCTGATGCGGCCTGGATTGCTGTATTTACTATTGATTTTCATCCCCACCTAAATTGTACACCTCTCATCTATACTTTCCAGTATCCAGTAAAAAAAAATAATACCTATATACTATTTCTGTATTCTGTGAACCTTGCATTGAAAATGACTAACAACGCTGCAAGAACAGAGCCGCACTGGATAATTTTCTTTTTTTGGTTTAGAGTAGCTGCATCGCCCAAATTAAGCTCCTGCTGCTTCAAATTTTTTTTTTAGGATGAGCACATGCATGTTGATGTTTTATATCCTTCGACTCTGACACTTGGAGTTGGACAAAGTGCTCAGATGCCTGCAATGAAAGGTAGCGGTAGCGTTTAAAGCGATGATGTTCGAATATGTGCAGGCAAGAAGGAATCTGCCTCGTCGCGAAAGCTCTCTCGATTCCGCAAATTTATCGCAGATTCGGGCAGGTTACCTTCGTTGTGTCCTCTTCTATAGACATAACGCTAAAAGAGTTATCACAGATTTAATAACACCATTTCAAGAAACTGAAACAAGATGCCATTGCATGGAAGAACACTTCAGCTTATTCGCATGACCACACCCGCTACCATGAAATCATTCTGGAACTATCAAGAACTATGAATAATTGCGTAGCTGAGGACTTTTGCTGTAGCATCATCAATAGTAATAATGATAGTAATAATAACAATAAAAGGCATCACATCGCTCGGCAAGCCTCTGCTAATGGCAGTTCTGTCCGAACCAGAAGGCCTTCAAACTGAGTCGAAATCATGGTCAAGACAAACAAGAACAAATTTACCGACTTTGTAATGTTGCGGTTGGAAAATCAGATATGCTGTGTGATATGTAGAAGCAACGGACATCGAAATAGTAAATATACCAACATGGAAGCTAAGGAACGCTTTAGACAGGATGAAGGACTTTAGACAACGTGAAGAACATTCTGAGCGAAAATTTCCTAGGCCTTTTTTATGCTGTAGACTGCCACAATTGTGACAACCAGTACATCGATCAGACCACTGATTTCAAGAAAAGTCAAACATCACGAATATGTTGCCAGGAAACGAGTGACTTAATATGCCCTCACTAAACACGTGGCCTCTACAGGCTACCAAATTGACTGGTCAAGCGCACGTGTTCTTGCCAAAGAAAGGCTTGGATCTACCTGCACCTGGCATATCAGCACATACAGACAACTGCATTTACGCTGAACAGCAGTGATGGGACGTTTTCGACAATGTAATCTCGGTGCTTGTATGACGTACTTGGACATAATTAAATACCCTGCATCTTTCTTATGGCTATTATTGTGAATAAGGCTCCCGTAGTGGGTGCTGAATTTTCAGTTAACTTTGTACCTGTCTGTATATCTTTGGTAGGTGTATCCTTTTGCGTCCGCACTAAGAAGCAACAGTTCAGCACTGCTTTTTATTTTTTCACGCATCTTCTTGCTGTTCACTGTAGTTGCAGCTGAAGGAGTGGCTTTTAAAACTTTGATCAATTGTATTGTCTATTTTTGCGATGACCGCACAGACTGCCATCATGTTTCCATGACTAGGCCAGATTTTTCAGAAACTCCCCAATTTTTTCCTAACTTTCCCAAAAACGTTCAAATTGCCTGCCTTTTCCAGGTTTTCTAGGTTGGTAGACACCCTGACTGAGCAAACAGTAAAGCCCACAGTATCATTTGCTGTACCTGTTGAATTATTTGACAGACTTTGTGAATTCAAATTTGGCTCTGCCAAGCTGGCTGCCTTGATATTCGGGCGATTCGTGAAATCGAGGAGTAGGGGTGGCAAAAAAAAAAAAAAAATAGCACACAAGTTTTCTTTAGGGCAGCAGAAACATCATTCACTGTTCCAAATGATTGCCAATAACTTTTTTAGACATCAGCGATCATACTAGTTTAGTACTCAAAATTATGCATTGCATACACGCATGAGTCTAACAAAATTTGCTGTGTCCCGTGGCCAGCGCTACAGCCCCTTCCAAATAATATTGCACTTTTTTATGGGACACTGGTGTACTGCAGCAAAGATGGCTTAAGAAGCAACCTGCAGGGGTTAGAACAAAGACAAAAATTTTCTTATCACCACACCCACCCCACTCTCTCTCTTTTTTTTTTTCATTCCTGATGGGGTTAGGTTTAGGGCCCAACTCAGATCGCTTGCAAGGCGAGTTTGACGAGACAAAGTAAGAACAGTGCACACACTTTGGCCCGGCGATGGTGCCGAATATCTATTGCCGGGACGATGCAACTTCAAGCCAAAAAAATGATTTATAGTGTTATTGCTACAGCAACACAACATGGTGGCTGGCAACAACTGCGTTCCCAGCACGTCGACCTTGTTCACGCATGAAAAACATGGCATATGCTCCTAACACACCATCATGGCATTTTCTGACTAGGAAATTCATATTTTCCGTGAAGCATTGGTGGCTACGGCAACGCATTTTTTTTTGGGGGGGGGGGGGGGGAGGTCAAATTTTCGTGGTCCTGCTGATAGGTATCCGCTGTGGTCAGCGAGCGCGCAGCGTTGTTACTTTATCTTATACTTTGTCTGGTGAATCGGATCTCGCGAGTGTCCCCACCTAACCAGTGTATAACTTACACCGTAGTTTGGGGTTACGGTGTGCACACTTGGTTTGATTGATGACACAAAATGCAGGTACCCTATGTGGCCCCCACTTATCAATAAAATTAGCTTAACTGAGGAAATTTTGAGGCTGGTCAGGCATTTTGGTGCAGCGTGGCGCAATTTTAGCAAATTTCATGGTTTTGGTGCAACAATGGGGAATTGGTATCAAATTGGCACAAGTGACGCAGCTGTTTCACCCCTGCATTTAACTATGGTTGGCAATGAGCTACTGGCCTTAAATTTTTTTTTTTTTTTTTTGCAGTAGAATAAGCTTTCTCCCTACCTTTGCATATAAGCACTTTTGGCACACTTTACAGCTTGAACAATGCCATAATGTGATAACCAAGACCTCATAGACCTACTGCAACCTAATATATACACACCTTATCAATGAAGTAGAGTGCAACAGAACGCTGCCGGATGCGCATCTCCTTGGATTTCCAGTCACTCATGTAGTTCTGCCTAATCTTGTCCACACAAGATTTCAGCTTGCGGGCCATTTCGTACTTTTGCATGTCCTTTTCCCCTTTCAGCTTGGAGCTAGGGTTCAGCATAATGTACTTTGTTTGCCCAAGAATATTTTCAGTCCACGAAGACAGCCATGACACATTGTCATCATGACGAACTTCCTTCCACTTGTGCCCTGGTGGTGGGTCCGGTACTTTAGCTTCCCTGTACAGTGGAAACAAAACAGCACAATCTAAACAGCACAATAATAATGACTGACTACATAACCTTGCACAGCTTTCAATAATGCTGTTATTTTATAGTACTTATGTTTGCTTCCAGCTCAAATATGCCTCACCTATCATTACACTAATACAGAATATTGAGGCTGTGCAAAATCGCTCGCCTTGTTTTATTTTAGCTAACCACAGTCCAGAACGCTAGTTCCACAAATTAAAGCTACTTCTAATAGTCCTTCTCTAACCAGCCGTAGACGGCCGACTCGTATTTGTCTTTTTCGTAAACCCACTCTTCAGTTCTTGTTTATGCTTGCACCGCTATTTCACTCACGCCGGTTTGGTCCTCCCCATTTGTTGCCAGAACAGGAAAAGATTGAAATCATTTACCTGCCTGCATACCAAACACCGTCAATCACAGTGCTTTTTCGAAAATGCTCTACGTAAGAGGGTATGGTGGAGCAAATGGTATATGTTAAATATAGCACAGTATTTTAAAAACAACTGCAAGTAAGTCCATAAAATTTTATGTGCTCACAAAAAATGCCACTGGGTATTACGTTACACCCTTTTTTAAGCCTAGTTTGCTTATCCTTCTAATGGCCCACTCCAAAATTTTAAAGGATATTTACTTAATTAATGAACCTTTACTTTGCAACTATAACTATATTCAGCAGCATTGTTGCAGAGACTCACAGGTTGCCTCTGAACTAAAAATATATTACATTATTCATGAAGGTTTTGTAAACACAATAAAGATACTAGTTGTACAACATCAAAAGAGTGCATATTGTGTAATTTTTTACAGCATCAATTTTTATAAAATCAGCTTTTCTTAAGGTTCAGACTGTATCTAACTTGTCGTAGCTTACGCATACAAAGTTTCATTGAAATTGATTCAATATTTTTTTGAGAAAAGGTACATTGAAGTTTAAAAACTTACAGAAAACACAATTTGAGAAAAATAAATTTGTACGTGCGCATATTGCTTACGCCAGAGGGTGTGCAGCGCACTTAGGCGCGACATTTAAACCACTTGGAGCGGCCGCTCGACGTCGGGCTTCCACAGGTTTGTTCCTCAGAGGACAGTGAATTTTTCGGTATTAAAATTGCAAATTCGATTTTGGGGTGGTGGGGGGGGGGGGGCTTTTACCACATTTTCCTAATCTACACTGCGCACTACTCAAACCTCATTATAATGAATCCGGATATAACAAAATATCGGTTATAATGAAGTAAATGGAAAATAATCTCACAATAGAATTAGTGTTAAAAATAAACCTATATAACAAATTTTTATATATAACAAACTTGTATTCAAGTAAGATTCAAGTTTGTTATAATAAGGTTCAAGTGTACAACCGCTTTGTGCACTTTACTTTTATGTATTTCCTTTGTAGTTTTTATTTTTTAATACATTTAATTTTTTTCCTCTTTTATTTCGTGACGACCCTCTCCCCTATATATAGTACTTCATGCTCTAAATAACTAAATAAACTCTGTCCACCAAACTAAGAGAATGTTGTCGTTTAATAAGATAATGCCCAAATATTAGCCAAAAAACTATTTAAGAGTGTGCTGCTTTTATTTAAGTGCAAGAGTTCTTTACGGGAGATTGATTTCTAGAGTTTTATTCCACTATCGGCATCAAATGAAACCCAAACAGCAGCAAGCGTTCGCAGCGGTATAGTGCATGCCGTCCACTAATGACCGTGGACAGGCGCATAGAGCTAAAGCTCGTTAATTCAACAACCATTAATTTAGACATTTGAATTATTCGGATGGCTCTATCGGTCCTGGCCGAAGTGCATGTTGATGTATGGGACCAAACCTTCGTTGATTTGTCAGAATAAGGCTGCACATCACTTCATTTGAACAAATGCTGACGGTTGCCGCTACACAAAAGTGTGGTAAAGCTGCGCTGGCATCACTGCAGTCTAAACAAAATCTGAGTGACATCACCACCGTCATCAACTATAATCCGTTTCACACATCATGTGCAACGTTGCGGAAGCTAGCAAGATTTCTTGCAGTTGATGCGTTCGCAACAAGAAGTAGTTCAATGTTCTTACCACCAAGAATTCAATTTTTCTGACGTTATTAGGGCGAGAAGTGATTGAACATATTGTGTGCCTTACAAGCAAAAAGGCCATGGAATGTCTGTCATTATGTGGCTGTATAGCTTAGTTTTTGCGTGACGATACATACAGGCTCTCTACTCTCGGTACGTCACAGTCGCAGCCACTTGGACTTTCAGTGTCGGTGCAGGATAGGACACCACGGGGTCGTTTGGTACCCGCATTCTCTTGTGCTCGCCCGATTCCTTCTGTTCACTAGTAGCGCTGAAGTGGAGCACAAAGAAACGCGAGGGCCCACCGGTACTAATCATATGTAACGCGAGCAACCACGAAACAAGCAGAGTTATGCGTTTTGCTGGCTGAACTTCTGGCATAGCTTCCACAGCATTGCACCCAATTATGAAACTGAGTATAGTGGGGGCGATAGCAACCTCACCAAACGTTGGCATCTTGGATCTTCGCTTCACTGTACCTTCGACGTAATTTACCCTTGTATTGTAGTGTCGGCATAGTCTTCTTGAAGCGATCTCCCCCCCCCCCCCCCCATGACCGTGCACCAACGTGCGCTACAGTGACGGCAATTCTTGCAAAGCGGCAGAAGTACAAAGCCAAGAAATTGGTGACTAAAGTGAAAATTTCAGAAGCTCTGAAAAACTCTGAATCTCAACGGCACGTTATGATCAAGTACAACATGAAGCAGAGCACGTTGGGAATGTACGTGAAAAATGAACAACAGATTCGACAAGCCTTCAAAAGCGAGAAGTTTCATGCATCTAGAAAGTGGCTGCGAAGCGCAGCTCATCCCCAGCTATGTTTGCCTTTCAGCTGATGGACCAGCGTATCATCAACTACGTGAAGTCTAAGTACCCCACACACCTGCTAGAGCAAATGATCCTATGCTTAGAAGTTGGAATGTTGACTCAAGTGGACTTACTCAGTGCAGTGCACATTATCACCCACATGTTGAAAAGCACTCCTCTACAAATCATAACCAACCGTTTTTGGCAAAGCAGTTTTGTGAGGCACGAACATGCGGCAGTAGCTGAAGATGGCATCGACGAGGTGTCAGCAGAGTTCACCGACGATGACTGCCTGACCTTCGATGCTGTCCTTCCCAAAGATGTGACCCTTTAGGACTACATAAAGATTGATGATTATGTTGCTACAACTGGTCTTCTGACTGATCAAGAAATTATGAACGATGTCACGGCACCCACTAAGATCAAGATTCTGACGAAGGGTCATGCAAGATGCAACAGTGACCTTATTGCACCTCACGGGAAGTCCCTGAGCACTTTTAGTATTAGAGGATGTTTGCCTGAGCACTTCAGACTGTTTGCGAGCTGTTGACCATTTGGAAAAGATAAGAAAAATTGTCAGCTAGAATCTGCACGAAAACGCAAACAACCATTACCAAATACTTCAGCAAACAAAGGTATGCTTCTCCAACTTAATTTTAATGCTTTTCCTGCTCATTCATTAATTCAGCATTCGCTTAATTCGCACGTTTTATTCCGGTCCCAGGAAATCTGAGCTTTTACTGTATGCGTGCACACTGCTGCTGAAACGGATGCACACACATGTCAATAGTGATGACTGGAGGGCGCGCACTAGAACGTTTCATTTGCCGTTGACAGTACACTGAAAAAGCTGTAAACACTTCCCAGCTGGAACTGTTTTGATCATTTGCTTGTTAAATCGCACATTGGTTTGCACCTGAGCATGGTAGAAGCTTTACCAGATATATCGATATTATGTCAAGTATACTAGTCCATTAATTGAAAGTCATCTTTTTGGCACAATATCCAGCATTTATATGTGAACTGCAATTTTGGCACACTAAAACATCCACCAGCATGAGAAATAAAACCAGTATTAACTTCAGTTTCCCCAAATGCACAAATGAACATTAAAATATGCATAAACTTGTTATGCTACATATGTGTTTTTGCTTTGATGAGCTACAGTGGAACTTCGATTATACGTCCCCCGGTTTACCGGCAACCCGCAAATTACGACAGATCAATTTGGTCCTGGCATAATCCCCATAGAAATAATGTATTGAAAACCTTTGTTATACGACGCAGTTTTATGTCAACACCACATCTTATGACAACTTTCCGATTCCATCCAGGGAGAGAAGAGGCGCACCACTTTTACTCTAACCGAACGTCGGCCAAATATTCACCAGTGCAAAATATCCATTTCCATTCCCCTAGGTTGATTAGAAAAGTAGAGAGTGAGACAGTCTTCCCTTTATTCCCTTGGCAGTTGGTGTGTCTTAGTATACGCCTCGATTGTGTGAACAATCAGAGTCGTTACCTAGACAAGCTCTATCTACGCAGAGTAGCTTCAGCTGGCTGAAAATCTCATATCCGTGATCCAAATATTTTCCACTTTTCGGTACATGAAACCTGGTTGGCATACAGCTGACCTATCTTGGTTTGCGGCACTTGCACTCACAGGTTTGTGCATGCAAAAGGACAAGACGCTGCCTTTTTCACTGCGCAAAAAAATTTTGTAGACCAGAATGTTCATACCAACAGCGGGACATCAGTGCACTTCACAATGCAACAAATGGCAACATGCACAGCTCGGTCATGCACAAAAACACGTGGTTTGTTCTCATGAGGTGATGGTGATCACGCTGTATCAGACTCTTCGTAATGGGAGGCTGTTGGAAACACTGTTCTGGTTTCGTTTTCATGCACAGGCAGTCTTCGGCCTCAATTGATCGGGAGAAAGATGCGCGCTGGATTTGTGTTTTTAAAGTTGAAGATAAAGACTTGCTCGCACCTCAGTGAGCCAAGTAATGCAGCCATTGGCAATAATAATTTAATCTACCTTCCTTAGAGAAACAAGGTCGTGCCGCGAGCTCATTTAAGCGGTCAGTACCCGTTTACAGTCAACCCTCGTTAATACGTAGTTGGCCGGGAACGACGTTTTGGTACGAACTAAGCGATGTACAAATTAATCGTCAGTGCCAGTTTAGCGGCAACTTACAAATACCGCACAGGCACGCAAGCTTTACTTATGGACAGGCAGCAAAAAAATCTGTGATTTTCACTTGTCGCCACGGTGGCCTTGCCGCGATGATGGCATCTTCGAAGTCGGTGAGGCCGCGAGCCAGCCGGTCCATTAGGACGCGTTTCTCGGCAAAGGCTCGCATCACAGTTTAGCCCAAGCAGAGTTTAGCATCACAGTTTAGCCCATGCCCTGTCGTCTGCTAGCGACGTGTGCTGCAGCGAAAGCGGCAAGAGCGTTTCGGGACACTGTGCAACTGTGCAATAAGATAAGCTGTAATTGTGAAAGTGGTTACATATTCATCTCGGCACCGTAAAAGCCTGCGTCTTGCGTCTTCTAGATACTTGCACGTAGACATTTGAGGGATAGGGTTCAATGGCTCACATTTCGGTGGAAAGCACCGCACTAGCCAAATTGAATATGAAAGCACCACGTTTCATCAGATTTTGTATACACATGCCTATGGGCATGCGAAGTGCCGCTCGCGTTTGATACGAAATGATGGCTTTATTCCCGGTGCCTCGCAGTTCTTATCGTGCCTCGCTGTGCTTATCGTGCTCCGCTAACCACTTGTACAGCGCACGCTCGCTGACGTTGGTGAACACAGCCGTTCTCTTAATGAGAGAGCTCATGCTTGCATTTCTGCCGCACTCCTTACGCAGTGTCCTGAACACATTTAGAGCCAACTACTTTGCTCCCTTGCCGTAAAAGCTTATCTGGGAACGATATCGCACAGGTGAACCGGCCGCCGCCATTTTGACAGGAGTGACCAAACCTGCAACCGCAGACTAATCACAACCCAAGAGTCTTCCGCGGCGTTGTGGACGCTCGGGCTGTGCGGACTACTCATAAAGTTTAGGCGGTGTCGTACCATTCCTTCGTATTTTATAAGTAAAAACATAACACATACGAGCCAGAAAAGCGTTACTTCTCTCGTCATTTGCATGTCATCACACGTACAAGCAAGAACACTTTCTACAGTATCATGGAGCCACAAAAATGCGGCAAAATCGTCATACAAAACAGCTACAACACGCAGAGAAACCTTCAAGTGAAAGTTCTCCGAGGAGACCGCTTGCAAAAGTCATGAGGACAAACGACGGGCTACGTATATGGGGCACTACATATCACTTCGCAACAACCTGCGTTCGAGGGTCGTGTAGCCTTGGCTCTGCTGCACAGAACTTCTGAAACAGAGGATAAAGATCGAATGAAAAAACGTGCTCAGCCTGATTCAGCGCAGTTCAGCCATTTATACAGTCGAAACCCGCAATAACCAAATCGGAGGGGAAACCGGAAAATTTTGTTTTCGCGAGAATTTCGTTGCCGTGAGTACGAGACATAAAAACAGTGATACGGCCAGCAGAACGAAAATTTATTGCCAGAAGTCCGTCAACTTACTTTGCCGACCCTTGCCATGCAACAACTTCAAAGTTCTCCCTTCGCACTAGAAAAAGTGGTCCATTGCTACGTCGTCGTCATGTGCACCGAAGAAGGAGCGAAGGGTGTCCAGCGCATCCGAAACAACCCGCGGGTTGTTTTGGGTGCGCTAGCGTGTCGTTCCTGCCCGCAGTCTCGCTGTCAACAGAGTTAGGGCTAAGGCCGACTCCGATGACGCGCCGTGCTCGTAGACCGCGCGCTCGCTCTTAGTAATCTGATCGTGCATCCGGTGCGGCCACTCGTAGTAATCTGACCGTGCCGCCGCTTACACTTCGTTGCTTGCGACGAAGCATGTCGCCACGAATGCGCTACCGTGTCGTTCCTGCCCGCAGTCTCGCTTTCGGCGACGTGAGGGCTAACGACGACTCCGATGTCACGCCGCGCTCATAGTAACCTGATCGCGCATCCGCCTACTGCTCCTAACTAAAGCGTAATTACATCTTAAGTGATCATCGAGCCGTGAACACATCACGAAGTAGCGATTTTCAAGAGCCATGTCCTTGCGACGCACAAGCAGCAGACGACGATCTCCTGGAGCGAGCATCGGGCCAATGGCGAGGCAAGCTGAGGCAACATGACGGCGACAGCCAATCAAGGGCCTCGAAACGACCTTCAAACATTTGCTTTTTGTGCGCTTGTTTTTAAAAGGAGGAGCCAGCCGAGTCAGGAAAGTTAAACACAGAGAAATGCTCTTTCCGATGAGCCCAAGAAGCCGGCTCCCGGCCCCCCCATCGTGAAGCCATAATTTTTTGATAATAGCTGTTTTCTAATGATTTCCAGAAAAAGTTTTGCCACCTAGATGGGTGAAATGAATTTTCCGAAGCACTTCTGCGTGGTTTTCAGTGTAGATATTTCGGGATCAGATAGAAAAGGGGTTCCAGAAACTGAAAACAAGATTTTCAAAAGATCTTTTTTTTTTCCATTTTTCGCGTCCCCCCTAACCAAAAATAGCGGTACCCAAACTAGCGCGGCAAAAGCAGACGTTTATAAATTTTGAGTGCGCATAACATGCATACGAGCATATTTTCGACAGTTAACCTTTGGCGGGAGGATAAAATAAGGCCCGCACCGTGGTAGAAAACTCGTTAATGCGGGATCGCTGTCCAAAAACATTTCGTTGCCGCGAGATACGTAGTACATGGGCTTCTATGAACGTTCGCCGGGGATCTGGAAATATTTTGTTGCCACGGGGATTTCGTATGCGCAGGGTTTCTTTATTGCGGGTTTCGAATGTTTTACGTACTTGGTTTGGATTTAAGAGCGACAGCGAATTCGCACACCCTGCCGGGAGAAGCGACCTAGAGTTCCTGGCTTACCAAAAACCGATCTCGAAATCCATGCGTTTCAAAAACTTCAAATTTTCAAAAACTATTTACTCACTTTCCAATGTTAATAATAACATCTTCGGGCATGATGCGACGCTTTAGCATGCCCATTTTTGGATGCTCTCCACGACCACGAAACAAACCAGGAGGTTCAATCTTGAAGTTACCAATCTTCTGTTTGTGACCATCAATGATGCAGAATCCATACTCTTCCACCAATTTTTCATTCTGCACTTTGATTACCTGTGAGAAAAAAAAGAAATTTCAGAGTAGTGGTAAAAAGATCTATTACACTGAGCTTGAAATGATAGCTGAAAAATACCAGTGTCAAAAATTTTTGTACAGCTGGTTATCAACTGCTTGTTACTTTTTTTCAAATCACTCGCATCTAACTCCTGACATCTGAAATGTCAGGAAAAACAACCTACTAAATGTTTTCATAGTTGAAGCACTGCGGTGACATGTAAGAGAGTAAAGAAAATCTACTCACCTAGCAACTTTCCAAGTTAATTTATCACCAACATATTGTGAGCGCTGACTATGTACTTCATTTTCATCTGTATGACCAAACCATTGTAGTGATCATCATCATATGTCACATGGGCTGGGCCGCTTTGGCTCGTGCATCTGGATTAAAAATACAACCGTACCGGACGTGGTCTCATAAGTGGTGGAGGTGCTGGGTGTGAAAAGTGGCTTCGCGGTCATCCGACCAGACAAAGGGTGCGCTCATGGTTAGAAGTTTGTGCAGAGGATCCACAATAGTAGCGAAATCGCGTACGAAGCAGCGGAAATACGATGCCAAGCCAAGGAAGCTGCGGAGGTCTTTGGGTGTGGTTGGTGTAGGAAAGTGCAGTACCGCAGCAACCTTGTCGGGATCGGGCTCAACACCATGTTTACTGACGACGTGACCTATTACCTTGACGCTGTGACTGGCAAACCAACACTTCTTAGTGTTGAGCTGGAGACCGGCCTTAGCTAAACACGTGAGGACTTCGTCTAACCGTTCCAGGTGCTGTGAGAAGCTGGTCGAAAAGATGACAATGTCGTCCAGGTTATGAGACCACGTCTGGTACGGCAGTAACCAAGTTATATTTTTAATCCAGATGCACGAGCCAAAGTGGCCCAGCCCGCGTGACATACGATGACAATCACTACAATGGTTTGGTCATACAGATGAAGATGAAGTACATAGTCAGCACTCACAACATTGGTACATTTGTGCATTTGAGCCCTGCTACGATACTGGCATACCTGTACATTTCACGTTTTTTCTACTTGATTGTGTGAAGCAACATTAAAGATTGCATCCAAGAAGATGCACCTCCTGTCGTGTACTTCTAAGAGGATTCGATGTGGGCTAGTAGTTATTGCGCACGAATCCAGTCTTTAGTGTTGTCCTGGTCTTTTAGTATAGTAGTGAAGCAAAAGAACAATACTTGTAGAACTACATTTGTTGCCTCTCCAAGGTTTGCTCAATCTGGGATCTCCTAAGCAGTTAGGGAACATGCCTTGGTAAAGGTGTGCCTGCGGAGTACGAAAACCTACAAATTGGACTGGGGCTTCCAGGTTTTCACACAGTGGTGCAATGTCAAAAGGAACACTGGTGTGCACGGCGAGAATTGGGAACCACAGCCAGCTGACAGCTGGAATGAGTGTTACACAGACACTGTGCCCGCTGCAAGTGGTTCTCCTTCATTGTGTGGACGGTTTGATTCACGATGATTCAAAAGAGAGCGGCGGATGACAAAAAGAGCACCACACATGGAGCACAATGCCTGCGTGGAACTCATGCAAGCCACGAAGAACCCACTATGCCCTCCGGCTTCAGCACAGGACCGTGATAACCACTACAGTAGTGGTCCTCTATTTCAATACTCAAGCCGTAGCTCACCTTTGCAAGCTTTTGCCATCTTCACATCTTCACGCATGCCCCCCCCCCCCCCCCCCCCCCTCCTTGGGTTCTTGCTGTTTTTGCTAAGAAGCACCTTTTTTCTAGCAACAATGGTGGCTCATCTGCTGGGTGTGCTTTCTTCTAGGTGGCTACACCCTTCTCATTACTTTAATATGCCGCTCTCTTTGCTTGGTAGAGTTAATTTACAAAAGTGTTCTTTCTAGCACGAACATGCAGTCATTTTGAAACAATTGCTTCTGTGGGAATGGCTACTTTTCAGATTCCAAATACAATTTAGGCCCAAACTCCAAGACCGCAGCTTCCAGTAATGAGGACAAGACAACTTCCGGGACATAGAAATTTAACCATATGTGGTTACCATAGCACAGACCTGTGTACAGTGTGTTCTGTGGTTTGCTGCTCATATTATTTCTTTTATAAAATAAGGACGTGAGGACCACAACAGCAGTGTCTTTGGCATTGCTCGCTCAGTTTTTCCCCCCCTTATGCATTACCAAAAGTAAACCAGTATTTCCCCGACAACTTACTTTATTTACTCGCATAATAAACGCACTCGCATAATGAACGCACCCCCAGTTTGGTCGCTAGAAGTTATTTTTTTTTCCCCACGCATCATAGGTGTACCTTGAACTTGGCCGTGATCAGTTATTCAGAACAATATTTGCGTGGTTGCAATTTGACGCCCTCTAACGTTAGCAAGAGCGAAGAAAAAGAAAAAAAGACCCCAGCAGCGTGGGCTTGCCGAGTGAGGAAGATGAGTGGTTGCCTGGGCGTCGCAGTAACCTTCATACAGGCGCTGGCGTGGCTCTTCCCATATGCGCCCAGCATGGATCGTGCGATAGCGTGCTCATGAAGTCTACTTTGAGTTTCTTGTCTGGGAAAGCCTCATCATCATTGGGTTTGCTACCTTGTCCGCAAATTTAAAAGCAGCTTTCCGACACGACCTTTCACTTTGCTGCCACTACGCAGACTTGCACAACCTCGGTGAACTTTTGTCGCTGTTGATTTTCTGGCTGCAAACTTAAACATCGCATCACGCACGCTGCCCTTTGATCTGTGCTTGAGTGCAATCATTTTGTCGGCCAATCTTCATGTTGTCTTGTACAAACTTCCCACGACAACATGCAAAAGCGTTGGCTAGGTCTAATTAGCGTTGGTTGCTTTTCGATGGCGGTCGCGGGCGATCAAAGTTGCGGTGGCTCTACTTTAAGGAAAGGGGCATGGGTGGCCCTTTCAACACTAGAATGAATTTGGATATGACGTGCAAGCCCGTAAAATCTAATGATCGGTACCGTTCAGTGCAGAAAATTTCGCTTTGATAATGTTCATAATCTAAGTGGCCTGAAACGTAATCAGCCAACTTCCGCGATGCCACTTTCTTGCCATACGATATATAGATATTTTTTTCGCATTTGTTTTATAAGACGTGCGAATCTTTCAATGTTAATTTTTAAAAATTTCAACGCATAGTATGCATGCCCCGATTCTCAAATGCATGCGCTCAACAAGTTTTGAGCTAGTGTAGCCTATGAAGAAGGTTGTTCTGACTATAGTGCAAATATTCGAGACCTCGGGAACTTGCGTTATCAGCTTGCATGCTGAAGTCGCAAATAAAAATTTTCGAAATTTTACCCTGCATAATCCGCGCATTTGGAGTCAATTTTCTGAAGAAAAAAAAAGTGCACCCATTAGGCGAGTAAATACGGTATTAGGGAGAAAAAACATTGGCCCATATCCACCTAGTTGTGTGGATGTCAAATGTCATTCTAAGCAATGTGCACCTTTATACTTATAGCCCTAGCAGCAAAGGTCATGTCAATAATACTAATCTGCCTACAGTAGCACAGCACTTTGACCTATGAGCAAGGGCAAGATTTGACACACAAGTACTGTTGAACATCACGGTGCCCCTGGAGTCGTTTCAGCCAGGCATATATATGCACCTTTTCCCTCCCACACACCGATTTCTTAGACAATGGGTAAAGGTCACTTGCATTCGCTTTTTACATAGCAGCAACGAGAGAGGTCACAAACTGAGGCAAGATGCTGTGCTCTCACTTATTTGTTCTATTAAAGTTCATACATGCACCTAAGTGCTTAGCAAGAGTGACCTTTTCAGTGATGCTACTGGCTTAGGCTGCTTTGGAGCAGACAAGAATGTGTTTTGGAACAGCAAATGTGCCTTTCCGAGCAGACATTGCTAGAGTCAATTTTAAGATACCTATTGTGTTCACAAAGAAGTGCGTAAACAGCGGTTGTGTCAAGCCGACGTTCCGATTCTGACAAGCGGTCTTGTCTTCCTCAGAACAAAACTGTTCTAGCCTTGAGAAAAACAAGTCCACTTGTCACAACCCCTCTTTATGAAGAATTTTTTCTCATCGCAAGCTTCCATCCACCTCTTCCTGCCATTTTTTAAATACTGTGTTCATGACACACGAATGAATGAAAAATTACAATGTGCTACACGCTATTCAAGCATAATAAAGTAATATATATATATATATATATATATATATATATATATATATATATATATATATCACTGACGGATAACCTGACCACATTTAAATATACAAAGCCAATGATTAAATTTAGAACCATCAACGTGACTGACGATCAGTTGACTGCCAATTTTTTGGAAGCCAGATTTTTGAGATAGGCTTGCGAACTCAGACGATTTTACCACAGCATCAGAAGCCCTATCGACGTCTATGGATAAGAACATCAGAAATTTTTAATGCTGAAACTCTTCGGTGTTCGATTTTTTTAGGCTTTCAGCCGACATTCCAGGTATGAAACAGCATTACTTAAAAGTCCCTACCTTTGCTACGTCTATGACCTCGTAGGCTTCAACGAGCACTTGCAAGAGTCAATCGGCGTCACAGTAATGTCCGAAAATTGGCTTTGCTGCAATGCATAAGTGCTATGAGGTAAAGCAGAAAAAAAATTCGAAAGGGGGCGGTTTTAACGTGGAATGAGGTGATGTCTAACGGATAAGCATTGGAAATGCTCAGAGGCATGATGGCGGCGATGCGGCAAACACCCCAGTAAGACTTAATCGCTTTATGATAAGCATCTTCAGCTTACTGCTTGTTACTGCATGTGGCGCAGTTGTCGGTGAATTGCCCGCCTTTTAATCACTCACGCCTACCGCCGTCCACGCTGCCTTTCTGTACGAGTCAGCAAAGTGCGCCACACAGACGCGATGCCTTCACGAACGAAAGCTCGCCATCGCCGCGGCCGTTTGCGGTCAGGAACGGAGTGGGCATTAAGAACATTTTTTTAATGAAAAACACGAGCATACGAAAGCGCTCCGGTTGGAATGGAGTCAGCTGTGTAGGCAATTTGCTGCACACAACTAGGATCTATCAGTCTCGTGTGGCAGCAAGAGCGGCGCATCTTCCAAGTGCACACACGCGTCGCGGAGGTCCGGACAAATATTCCTTTATTCTGCCACACCCTTCATGTTCTGGGTCATCGTTTCCACACGCTCCATGCGATATATCCACAACTTATTCCGCCCTTTGCTGGTATCAGCGGCGCTCATCACAAGACGCATATTTGAAAATGGACATCAGCAGGCCCTGAATGTATTGACGACAGCCTAAGCATGCATCTCATAAGAGTACTCTAGAAGGCATTAAAGCTATTTCAGATGGAGCTGTGGCGATTTGATTACTTGAGCGGAATAAAAGTCGTGAATCTTTTTCGGGACAATTTCCCAGTTCCTAGAAAGTTAAATAAATTGGGCATTCACTGCGTCCCAACCATCCACGGTCTCAACAGTGGCATTTGTCGCAGTTTCGCTTGGCTTGGCTCGGGTCGCGTCTTATGCAGGTGCACCGCGATGTCATTTTAGACAGGAGAACCTCAAGCAGTTTCGTTTCTGAAAGTCGGAGCATGCCCTTTGGCGCAGGTTGGGTGCAGACTCGCCAAATTTTAAGGTAATGTAGCAGCATGTAGCAGCTAGGGCAATTCGGTGCAGTTTGGCGCAATTGACGCAGCGGTAGCATCAGTGCCTTTGTTATTTTACATAAGCCATTCTTTCAATAAAGTTGTAGCTTGTTAAAAACTCCCATTTCATGCTCCCACTATGGTGCGACATATGAATGCATCACTTATGGTTGTGTGCTAAATGAGTGCCGGACAGTTTTGCACATGAATTCGCCTGTAATGCTGTGTGCCACAGAAATTTGCAGAATGCAACTTTTCTGCCTACTTCGTGTGAGAAACAGTCTTTCATTAGAATTCTCATACAGTTGAACTCCTTTATAAGAGACACTTGGGCTATAAGAGACACCTTATATTAGGGACAAGTGCTCCCCAGTATGCATCTCTTATAAAGGGGCTCAACTGTATTTATAAAATTAAGCATCAAGCATTACTGCCTTACATTACTGCCATTACAGACTGGACACCTCCAATCCTTCATGCAATGCAATGTCCATTGCAATGTGCCACTTGAAATTGCAATGACATTCTGTGCAAGCAAATGAGCTATAATCAAAGTACATCGATCCTCAAGGTCAACTTTCAACAGGACATTTAGCCTGAGAAGAATTAGCACATGTATGCCTCAATGTCATCAAGCTTGACTGTCATCCATTTATCCTTTTGAAACATGGGAAATGTGCCATGTCAGAAGCCACCATTAATTAGATTCAACAGATAACTTTACCCAATGGTCCCTTTGAAACCTCAAAGGTAAAAAATGTGCAGTCTCAGAAGCCACCATATAGCTAACTGTTATAAATTCTGCACTAATTCTGTAATAATAAATGACAGCACTGAACACAGACTGTCCCACGACCCACAAGAAAATCAGCACCATGATATACTAAGCCAGTCCTAATCAATATCCTTTATTACGCTATACATTACCTGTTTCTCCTCCTTGGTCATGGCCTTGCGTTCTTCAGACTTCTGCTTATAGTAAGCATCAATTTCTTTGAAATTGCACTTCTTGAGGTCTGTGATGAGCTCTGCTTCCTTAGAAGTCATGCACTTCCGCCAGTCATGGAAGAAATTCTTGTTGAACACATCCTTGGATGTGTAGTCATGATCAAGCATCCTACCGTAAAACCCAGCTACCTCCTCAGCCTCGGGGCTCAGCTTGACCGGAACACCTGCAAAAATTCCCAATTCCAAGGCGCAATCAAACCTTTCCCCAATAGTGCTTAACTCTCGCAATTTTACAGCAGTAAAAATTTAGTTCTGGAGCACGTAATCTTACTATTAGGAGCACTTCGGTTCGGCACAGGTATACAGTCAAACCACCTCGTTATACCGAAGTTGAAAGGAAGTCGCAATTACTTCGCTATCACCATTAGTTCGTTATAGCCAGCAGCCCACCACGCAGAGAAGAACGGCCGTCGAAAGGCAAAAAAACTAGCAAATTAATAAGGAACAGTGCACCTTTATTTCCACCGAATTCGGTACATTAGCTGGAAGATCACTTCAAAGAAAATAGTCCATAATAGACTTTTACCAACTCTTCTTCACGCAGATGACTGCTTTTTAAGCTTTAGCAGCTATTTAGAGTCCGTCGCATCCAGCGCTTGCGCAGGTGTTGGTACGTCTGGGTTTGCTAACATTAAGCTCCGGGGTGTCAACATTTGTCCCTGTCGTCGTCGTACACCCCCGTCACCGCGCGCACAATTTCCGCATCTGGCAACTATTTCGTTGTCACCGCATCAGCATCAGCACCGACATACGTGCAGAAAGTTAGGCACAACGCCAATGTGAAGGAGAGCGTCCCACGATGTCTGGGCCTGGTCGCCCGCGACACCCTCACTGGCGATATCGACGAAATGTTGGACTACTTTTCTCGACGCCGTACTCAATGGCTTTAAACATTGCCGACTTTTGCTCGATTGTTATATTTTTTTATTTATGTTTGCCGCTGCTATTGTCCATCTCGTGTCGGGCGGCGAAACTAATAGAGATGGTGTTGCTCTTCCACAGCGAACGACAAGAAACATAGCCACAGAACACCTACCACTTTCATAGCCGCAATCTCAGCCGTCCCAGTGCGGAGCTGAAGGGGATGGAGGTCAGATGTGCGAGCGGGTCAATGAGTTCTACAAGAGAGGGAAGGCCGGCTCGCGCAAGTTGCTGTGCGGGCAAGTCCATTAGCTCCTGAGGAAAGGGGAGGCAGGGAGACACACCCACGCGTGTGTTGGCAGGCGGCTCTTGGCGAGCGCAAGGTGAGAGTTATGAATAACCGCAGCTGTGATGATGCGTAAATCGTCGCGCGCTACAACATATTCAATATACCAAGATGATCAGTAAATGCTCGTTGTGGACAAAGGATGGTTCGTTATATCCATTGCGAGGAAATTTTCACTTCCTTAAAACGAGGTTTTAAATATATGGGCATCTATGGGAATTTCAAGGGGAATTACAATTGCTTTATTATACCAATTAGTTTGGCATATCCCGCTTCGTTATAACAAGGTTCTACTTAACACGAAGCAGCGCAAGAAATGAACGTGGGCTCTACCGCTCCTCGACAGTGGTGCTCCTAACATAAAATCAAGTGCACAAGCTTGTGCACTTGATGGGATGCCCTGGACAACGTCATTGTATGAGATTCTAACATTAACGGCAGCCTGATGTCCTTGGAACGCGCAAATCTGGTTCTCAAACCAGTACTTGAGGCCTATTGCGGTCTCTCGCCCTTTTATTTTACAAAATAAACAATATTTTGTGCTTATTATATGTTGGTTTTGTTCTTATGTGTAATACCGTATTTACTCGTGTAATAAATGCACTCCCAACTTCAGTCGTCAAAATTTAGACTCCCCCCCCCCCCCCCCCATAATAACGAACCCCCTACATTCATCCCCTGCAGTCCCACTAACCGACACCTGGCGCCTACTTACCCTTTGGACCTCTTTCGATTTTTATTATTATGCCGACCCCCCTCAGCTCACTTCCCCCCCCCCTTCACCCGTTGCCGCATGCCGTATTCTTTTTCTATCTGTGCACGACACATCCCCATTCTTCTTCATCTGTGCGCCACAGCGGAGTTCATGAATGGGAGTGTAGAGACATCGCAGCTGATAAGCACACAGCGAGCGAAGGTCACGAATCTGCCCGAGCGAACAAACGATTGCTTCCTGCAAATACAAAACTTGACGTGCATGCTATTAGCGAACGACGACGACAGAATTGTTGTGGCGAAGGGTCATTTGTCGCTATCGCATTTCAGGTTTCTGGAAAGCCAGAAAAAAACGCTTGTCACCCAGAAAAGATCGTGACGATTTCCACAATTTGGTAGCACCCCCACTACTTGCCTTGCTTGTTCCCCATGCGTACAGAAACTTCTCACGTGGAAGTGAGGCGGCGGCCGTAATTTGTCGTTAATCTTGTTAACGGCGGTTTGTTTTGATGTTTCGGGGGTAGCTTGCTGCAATGTTCGTTACATGCTACAATGACAACAGTGTCGTTGTGCGAGGTTGCCGCAAAGTTGACAAAGTGCGTCGTAGCACACGCTTTTCAGCGCCCCTTGAGATCATAGCAAATACCACTGTTGTGGTTAAACGATTGCAAGATAGCCGCAAAACGCTTTTATGGCGCGCGCGGGCGGCACGGGGACAACTTGCAAAAAGTAGCGCCATCAACCACCGAAGATGAGTAAAGTGCAACAAAGAACTTGTTTCCAAATAGTGTATGCGTGCAAAAAACTAAGTGACCCAAGTTTTTTTTATTGGATTATAGCATTTTTTGCTCATTTTGAAAAAGTTAAAAAAATCTGCCCTGCAGAGTAAATGCACACCCAACCTTGCTCCGATTTTCGAAAAAAAAATAAAGTTTGTTCATTACGCGAGTAAATACAGTATTCTTTGATGCAACCGGGTTTCATTTGCAAATGAGTTTCGTTTGCAATCAGAGTAAATATACATGGCATTAGCGTACATGAGTAAACCAATGCAGAACTAACACCACTGCAATCACAGTCATGAACTGAGACATCTCTAGCCTTCTGCTATAGTTGCGCTCATCGGAGTTTTGGTTGCGGTCCCACAGCAGAATGAGGTTGAATTTCATTGCTCCGCAAAAGTACTGGCAGCCAATTTTTTAAAAGCGGCAACAGCTTGATCACTCCTCTCATTAAGCTCGACTGCTGTCTCTGGTAATTAAAACATTTCTTAATGTTAATCAAATACTGCCGCAATTACAGTGTCTAGAGATTTCGAAATTTCCGACGTCATTCCAGGAGCCGCGTACAACTGCCCTAAGAGCCTCGCAGGCCACAGGTTGCGAACTCCTAATATAGACGGTTTGGCGCAGTTTGGCGAAATTTAAGTCGATTCAAACAGGTTGGCGCAGCAAATCTTGTTTGGTGCACTTTGGCGCAGTTGGCACAGGAATGGGATCCCTGCCTTTGTCATAACTTGCGAGTTATGCACAGGCTTGAGTTGTGTGGTAGGGCTGCATCTTGGTTTGACGAAATCGTGCTTCTAGCTCTACCGTAGATTGCAAGGGTGTGCAAATTAACCCTTTGTATTCCATGGCCAAACCAGTTGCGCAAGTAAATATCTTTTTGCATATATCCAATTACAATGTATCACTGTTTTGTACTCATTGGCATATCCTTGTAAATCGCCAACACGCGCATTACCGTATGACCTTTTACTTACATCAATTCTGTACCAAACTTGCAGAAAGCCTGGCGTAGCAGAAAAACATGGTAAAAGCCCACAGTTGCACTTATATTTTAGTCATGGAATGGTTCATGCTATGAATTTCCCAAAATATTTTTATCACTCACATTCTCATACACAACATTACATGCACGTCTGTAAAATGCATTCAGTATTGCCATGTTAAATTAACTAGAGAATAAAAAAACTTATAATTTCAAAAAAAAAATGTCACAGCATATAGAATTTACTGGAGAAAAAAATGCAACAGACCTTAAGAAAATCCACCAAGCTATGGACCAGAGCACCTGGGCGCCTAAGCTCTCTGCGCATACTCTCACACCGTCACGGCCATTTTGTTCTGACTTGCGAAGGCGTGAATCTGCTGCGCCGAGTTACCATGGCAAGCGGCTTGTCTAGGACTTCATCGCTGTCTGTGATTACAACGTGACGCAGGAATCAAGCTGATGCGTTATTTTCAGACTGCACAGATTTTAATCTGCAGCATAAGATGCTAGGCCCCACCGCGAGTGAATAATTGCAATCAATAGAAAAACCTATGAGCCCAGTAAAGGTGCACTAGTAAGCACACTTACTGCGTGTATTCAAGCGCGATGCCAGCTATTTCACTTTACAGCAGTAGTTTGTGTGCAATATGCCTGTAGTATGCGCTAGTTAATCATTGCCTCTACTCTTTTGCTGGCCATGTACCAATAACAGAATATATTGCATGACTCTTGCATACATACCCACACCGCACAATAGCATACCATCACGATGCAAAGACATGAACAGTGGAAAGCATGACTTTTGAGTCAGTCGAGTTGCGGCATGCTTCGACTGCTGTTAGGCGAATCTGTGCTTCCAGCCGGCGTCACGGTAACACTTCAAAATCTTTCTCTGGCTGGCACTTTGAAACCGCATGCGCGTTCTGTGTACCAGGGTTGACTGGCAAATGATTAACACATCGGTGCATGAGCACAAGCCAGAGCAGGATTACAGCGCTACGATTCAGGTAGCCGCAAGCCGCAGTTTTGCTTAACGACAGTCTGGGCATGTCGCAGTTTGACCGAGTTGAAAGCCGTACTTTCCACTGTTTATATTTCTTTTCATCACAATAGTACCGTATTTACTCGCATAATTTGCACATTCTTTTCGTGATTTCGGAGCTGCCAGAAGAGTATGCGCAAATTACGAAGGAATTTGGAACCGCATAAAAAATAATGTGCAATAGTCCTAGTGCACGCAGTATATACATACAATAAAATAAACAAAATATTAACTGGAACACACAGTGTACTGTTTTATTAAACAGAATTAACACGCACTTCACCCTGCCAGATCCAGTCGCGTGCAGTCTCGATGAAATTACCGATCGAGAGGTCCGATTGGGAATAGTTATTGCCGCGGCCGCTGTCACCGCCCATCAAAGAACATCATCCTCGGTTCTGTTAAACGCGTTCGAATGCCCCATTTTC